ATTGTAAATTTTAACATATTAGAAGGCAGAACACGCTAAGATGAAATACATATAAAGAATATTTGTATTGCAATTAATGATTGTTAATATTAAAATAATTGTACTTAATTATATTGTTAAACATTATTGGATTGAACTCTACTGAATCAGTTGTGTAGACGAAAATAGTATATAAAATAAGAAAATGTAAAAATGTCGTGTTTCAAATCATACAAGAATTTAAACTAGCACAATATTTATAATCTTACATCTATGTTCTAAACATTTTTATTAGATTCATTTTCACGCTTAAGTAAGGCTACGTAGAAATTACAATTTTTTATAAACTTACTACATGCTTCTGCTATGTATGTAAATTTTTCAATTTTTATACAAGTTCATATTAAATTATGTACACATTTTAATATCAGTAATATTTTTTTTATAGACTTTTTATATTACGAATTACATAAAACCTTTACTAACACATTATACAAATTTATCCATAATAACTCTTAGAAGTATACATCTGAGTGGGTCCTGCCTTGCAAATTAAATCAATAATTCGGTACCTTTAAAAATATTTTATAATATTATTTTGAAACCAAAACGAGAATCGCTTTATTTAATTGTGTAATATATTTTTTTTTAAATTATTAAAATAAATTTTTAAATGACATTGATTTTTTTATATGGTCACATAAAATTGTCTTGTTTGACTAATATTTCAGAACGTAATACTTTTTATTTATACGCTGTCATATGATACTATATTTGCACTAATATATTCTTTTAATGAATATTTCAAATAATATATTACATTAAATGTAACAGGAATACTCGAAATATGCACACAAATTTACTCAGAGAGAGAGAGAGATACACAGACACACACCCACACACAGTCACGCGTATATATGATGTAGGATACCACGTGAATGTACAATAACTTATCTTTGTCTCTTGAAAGATATATGTGATTTTAGTAAGAAAATATTCATTTATGTATAGAATTTTTCTATGCAATGTTTTCTTACAAGTAAGAAATGAATTACAACACTTTTAACTGTAATGATAAATACGTCGTTATAAAAATGATGTAATAATAAAATGTTATGATGATAAAACATTAGCGTTACATGAATTCTAGAATTATTACAAAGTTAATTACCTCCTTTTTACGTTTATTTGCATTATGATATTTGTATATTATGAAAATATCAATAAAAACATCGATTCAAATTGCAGATATTAAAATGTAAAATTGAAGAAAATTGATTCAATATTTTTATATTATTTTGAAAAGATGAATAATAAATGATTATTAAATGTAATAATAAAGTACGTTACATTTATTCAAACACAATCTTAATTATAATTTAATTCAAGAAATAACATTTTTCGATCGTAACTCGTGAGAGCTGTATAGGTTATGTTATGAAGCTGTTGTATTATATGCATTATCAAGGGTGATATTTATCAGATATTCTGAACGAATATTCTATAAATATTATTATTATTCAGATTACACGATTGTTGGAAGGAAACAAAACATAAAAATGTTAAAATTTCATCGGATCAAGGAAACGCATGCATTATTTGAATGTTGCATATTTCGGCAGACATTTAACAATCAAATTCGTCGTATTGTTAGTAGTTCATTGAATTTCGCACTACCATCTGATAGTGTTATGTACGTTTTCGACAGGAACGCAAAACTTCTTCAAAGAGAACGAGCGGCGTCAGCATCTGATGTAAAACTATATGATTACATCAAAGATGAAGTAGGTTACAGACTGTCAGATAGAGTATTTGATATAAAGAGAAAATTCAATAAAGCACTTGACTTAGGATGTGGTCGTGGTCATGTGTCCAAACACCTCTCTGCGGAGTCCATAGAAGAATTAATTTTAATGGATATGTGTCCAAGCTTTTTAGATCAAGCGAAGATTGCAGAAGGAATTAAAGTAACAAGAACAGTTATGGACGAGGAAAATTTTTCATATGAACCGGACAGTCTAGATTTAGTCATAAGTTCATTAAGTCTTCACTGGGTGAACAATTTGCCAGGCTGTTTTGCAAGTATCAATAACAGTTTAAAGAAGGATGGAGTATTCTTAGCAGCTATGTTTGGTGCAGAAACATTATATGAATTAAGGTAATTTAATGTTCAAGGAAAACAGGATTATTAGTACTATATGTATTACTATTTATCTCTAGGAGTTCTTTGCAGTTAGCAGAGTTGGAAAGGGATGGTGGGATTTCAGCTCACATTTCACCATTTGCTGAAATTAGAGACATTGGAACCTTGTTAAACAGAGCAAAATTTACAATGTTGACAATTGATACAGATGAAATAACTATTGGCTATCCAAATATGTTTGAGTTAATGTGGGATTTAAAAGGTACCTATTTATTTTTTGATTTACAAATAAATATGTATTTTATTCATGCATTATATTACAGTATTTAATTTTGTAGGAATGGCTGAAAATAATGCAGTTATTAAGCGAAAATTACGTTTAAATAAAGATACTCTACTTGCTGCTTCTACAATATATAATGAACTGTATGGAAAAACTAAAGAAGATGGTACAACATTTGTACCTGCAACATTTCAAATAATTTACTTAGTAGGTTGGAAACCAGACCCTTCACAACCAAAACCACTAGAAAGGGGCACTGGAGAAGTATCACTCAAGGATTTATACAAATTAGATGAGATTATAAAAGATACTAAAAAAATTAAAATAGATGAAGATAAGTGAGATGTAAATCATTGTAAATATTTAGTAAAGAAATTGGTATGTTTATTGTACAAACCTTTCCTTAAGATTAATACATAAGTTAACATTAATTAACAATTAAAGAAAAATTATTTCATTTATATTTTACAATAACAATGTTATGATTTTTTATCTACATTATCTTTATGTGCTACAACACCTTTCTCTATAAGATCAGGAATTTCAACTGCCATCCATGGTCCAAGCTAAAAATATCAATTTGAATGCTTACAAAACTATGATAATTTATTAATTAATAATTATAGTTGTTAAATGAAAATCTTACTCCAAGTGCCATGGCATGGGCAATTCCAAATTTTGGAACATTCCTTGCCCATAAGGGTTTGAAATGATCAGTAAGACAAATTTTTCCACCTCTATACATTTTTGCAGTTTTACCATCTAATTCGGGTAAAGCAATTTCAGGTGCTGTTGTCGGATATGTAACTGGAATCTACAATTATCTTTATATTATTTATTATATCAAAATTTTTAAAGCTTATTAAGTAATTGAAATTATTTCAAAGTTACCTCTGTATATACACTATCAAAAAAAGTAACTTACATCAAACTCAACCTCAAATTCATACTTCAAGAGATTGTGAATGTACCAACATTTTCCAAACCATCTTGTACCCTCTTTGTTTGATTCCAAACGAAACCAGTCATTGTCAGATTCTTTATTATTTTTTACATACTGAAATGTATACAAAAATTATGTTAATTAATAAAGTCTGTAAAAATTAAAACTCAGTATCGTTGGATAAAGCTACTCCAAACGTGTTTATAACGAAAGTAAAAATAAATTAAAATTTGTAGAAGGATAGTAACCATATGGAAAGCATACGTAGTGAAATATTATTTACTTTAATTAATGCTTGATATTCTTCCTTTAATCTTTGCACCCATAGATCCTTATCTCTGGGACCCGCTTTTGTTTGTAACAATGGAATGTTACTTAATGTTTTCTTCGTCGATTCATCTACCATTTTGAACTACTACTACGGCTATCATAAATGACAGCTGAGTACTTAAATTTTTGTATCGTTTTGAACTATGATCACACGCGCTTCATATTAAGTTTCGAGATTCTGTAACAACCTTAGGAAACGTGAATTGTATTATCGATATGTCGAATCAGAATTTACGTATGAAAATATTATAAATCTTATTTATAATTACGTATCTTTAATTTAATTATTATAATCACAGATATAATTAATTGAAGTTGTTCTTGACAAAACAGGTTTATTAATACTTGGTGCTTTATTTTAATAACATTTTTATTAAAATTTCTAACGTAAAGAATAAAATGGAAAATTAAAATGAAAATATCATCAAAGTAAACCAATGAATATTAATGAAGTAACGAAGCGAATTTATAAATGTCTCTGTTTTCTTTTCATGTTAGTGGTAAATTACCGGCGTAATAGATCTGTCGATAAAGTATTATCTATGTACATAATTCCTCCTGTAATTGCGTTAATAAATTTTGGGTATTAATCGTAACCACCTTAAAATTAAATCCATAATATTTAGATTGAATTTATGGCATTGAACAATTTAATAATGCCTCTTTTAATTATTTATATGTTTAATTAAGATCCAATCGATTACTAGTTTGGTTGCAATCATGAAAGTAGTAGTGCATCATACTTTTATATTGTTCGCGATTTAGTTTTCTTAGTAAGGCTTCAAGAGTAAACTGCAACGGATTGTGACATGTTAATCGGGAATCGAAAAGAATTATCAATTGAAATAAAATAATCATGGCTGATTCATCTTATGAAAAAGGACTGACGGAACTTTCGAAAATGAAGGTAACTCGCGTGCATTCTTGTTGATATCGTTCCACACCCGGGAAGATAACCTCAAAGTTACTTTTGTGCACAACAAAAAATTCCTCTATTTACAATCTTGTTTATACTGGGAATGTGTAGTTGTTTGGAAATAATTATTAAGTTAATTGGGAAATTTTGTCAGTTCTTTCTTTCGAACTGAAAGAAATCAAGTTTTGTAATTGAACCATTTATTATTTAATTTTTAATATTATGTCCTTTATTATAGTAAATATGTTATTGAATATTAGGTTGCAGATTTGAAGATTGAATTGAAACAAAGAGGACTTCCCACCAGTGGTAATAAAACTGAATTGGTCGAAAGACTTCAGTTAGCAATTCATGGTGGTATATGTTTTTAAATGTATTTTGAAACATACTTGTTGCTTCCTATAAATATTACATATTGATAAGACAATGTTTTCCTTGGTAGACTCTGCATTATCCTTGGATGAAACAGCAGAAGAGATTTTAGATGAAGATGCAGTCCTTGGTGTAAGTTGAACAACATAATATGTAGATCATAATTTGATTTTTAATAATTCAACTGTAATGAATCTTTTCTTGTGTAGGACGACGAAATAGAAGAATTATCAAGTAAACCAGATTCTCAAGAAGTTAGTGATAAAAGAAAATTATCCACAGAGAGTAATGTGAGTGCAAAAAAAATAGTTCTAAACCGTAAACCAGTGATTGAAGAAACTAAGAATGAATCGACAGAAAAAATTGAAACTGACATGAAATCAACTGAGACTGCACCACCAGAAAGAAAAATTATTAAATTATCAGAGCTTGGTATCAAAGAGGTAACAATTAATATTTTCTATTGAAACTTAAAAGTCAAACATGTTAACATAACTTGTTGAATTGTTTAGAGATTAGAAATGAGAGCTAAAAAATTTGGAATGCCGCTGTCAGAAGCTGCTAAAAAGGAAGCCAGATCTGCCAGATTCAGTATTAATAATCAAAACAATAAGTCTGCTGCTTCTGTAAAAACACCTGTGGTATATGTTTATCTTTAATTACAATTAAAATACCACTTGATACATATATAGGTATATATACATAATTCATTATATTTGTTTACAGCATACAACATACGAAGTTTTAAAAAAACGGGCTGAAAGGTTTGGCATGTCTGTATCTACTTTAATGGAGAAGGTAATAAATAGAGCAAAATAAAATATATATTATTCAATTTTGCTTGACTGTAAGTGTGCGCGCTCGTTATATATACGATCCTTACAAATATAATTGTTTTCAGGCCGAGTTGGAAGCCAGAATAGAAAAAAGAAAAATTAGATTTGGCGAAGTGACATCGACTAATGATAAAGTACTTCAAAATAAAGTTAAGATTGTTAAATGATATTCAGTGTTATATACCAAAACAGCATCTTAGATTGCAAATCTTATTCTAAGTTTTCTTATTTTCAGTACAATCTACAATTATTGTATGCATAATAAAAGATCATCGTATTTGTTATAAAATACTTTGCACAATGAATATTAAAGATTTCTCTTTTGTTACGTTAACTATTGGAAGCGCGTTTCACGTCTTGCAGGAAATAGTGTAAATACACTCGATACTTATTTAAATTTTCTTAAAACATTAGATGTAACAAAAAGATATTACATTCAGTATTACAACACTGTTGCTTCTGATTCATAACACATCTCTTAACTTTGTTTTCACATTATTAAGTCTACTTCCAATCTCCATATAGGAATAAATAGTCCGCTTGCGAAACAATGTATATTCGTTATATCAAAGTTTTATATTGGTACAAATTCGAAGAATGAAATAAATGAAATTTCATGTTAACACAGGAAGAAGTCGAACTGCTTGGTCGAAAGAGAAAAAGTATTCTACGAGATTACTTCAATATATTGAATTTTATTATAAAATGTTTGTATTTAGGCTACAACATGTAATATAATAATTGCGTTTGGTCTAGACCCTTACGAAAAGAAAAGCTAAACTGCACCACATTTACAGTTGTCCCAACGAGACACTTTCGTCAAGTTTACGTTTCAAGGAAACATTCGTAAATGTTTTCTCTGTTTTTAGTTACGCATTCAAAAGGTACACGCGTCAATTTCTTATCCATTGCCGAGAGATAATCACTGTATTATTATATCACGCAACGTGTTCTGTAAGAAATATACGAACATACATATGTATACATACAGTGTCTGAAAAAATTGGTTTTCCCTCTGGGTTTTATTCTCTCTTTATAAAGGTCAGTTAAAAACAAGTCTTCGGTTATTGCGAAAGACATAAACGACGATCATCTTTTTTTATTAAAGATCGGGCTCTAAGATTGAGAAGTGACGTAGTAGCCACGAATTTGTATTCAAGAATATTTTATAGAAACGTTACGCACGATCAATTAACAGCCATTCGATCGAATGAATTCGTAATTATTCCTTGAAGCGCACCCTAAAAGACGAATGGGCCGAGGACACACACGGTTATGTTAAAGAAGACGATAGAGATTGTACATTGAAACGGTATAAAACCGAAATACATCATATAGGTGTAAAAATAATGAAATTATAGACATAGTAAACATTTCTCTCTTTCTCTCTCATTCTATCTCTCTTTCTCTCTCGTTCTCTCTCGCTCTCGCTCTCTCTCTCTTTCTCTCTATGACAATTATACGATGTGTAAATTGTGTTATGATAATTCACAATTTGGTCATTGACCCATCACGACCAGTGTCCTATTTTGATGACCGGACTGTGCATGCTTATGCAACTTCGTATCTTCGCTTAAGAATTTAAAAGGAACTGAAATATAATAAAATTGTTCTTTCTATATTTGTAATTTCATCAAGTCAAGAACAATATACAACTTTATGAAATTCTATTAAAGCTTGAGTCTTATTGTTCTCTTTTTTTTGTCTTCAAGGAGGGGAAGGGACTTCCATGAAAGATAGAAAGATTGCATAAGGATCCACAGTCTGCCGGTGAAACTTTCATTTAAAGTTTTCGCGGTTCTCGTAAAGAATAATAACAAAAAGTTCAAATAAAAGTTGTCGTAAATAGAACGCTGAATATTAAATGGGACGAAGACGGTCCACGAAGTAAAGGAAACTATTCCAAGCAGCTAATCCTAAGATAATGTATTTCCTTTTTTTATTTATATAACTTCTATTTATATTAGGTATGCACGTATGTGTGATAACTAAACAGATACATGATCTTTGTGGCGCAAAGAGACACTACCAGCTTTGCGATCCGATCAAAGAGCAGGAGGCTGTCGCGCTGATAACAAACAAATAAATCATAAAAAGAAATAACATTTTTCTTTCTCTCACTTTCTCTCTCTCCTTTTCTATAAATATATCTAGATTTGCACGTAATCGTATCTGTTCAGCGAATCACTCGATCGAATTAGTTTCCGTTATCTTTCCCGTCTCTTCCTCGCGCGAATCCGCTGCTTGAAATCGAGGAGGGGCCGTCAAGGAGGATTTTCTTCGAGTGTTTCGAGCAAAGGATTCGACGCGCGAGATTTCCCCTCAAAGCTTCGCTATAGGTACGAGCAATTCTGGCCTCGAGTCGACACCGTGATGATTTATAATAATACGACATGTTTGCGTAATATATCTTAATTAATTCTTTATACTTTATTACATATATA